CAGTCTTCAGTGTCACATTATCCTTCAGAAATCATTCTAGTATGCTGATTTATAATCAGTGTTGGAAACAGTTGAGCTGCTTAATATTTTTGTGACCTGTGATACTTTTTTTCAGGATTCTTTGATAAATAAAAAGAACGGTGTTTATGCATCACAGAAAAATTATATTTTAAAGTATATTAAATTCGGAAACCAATATTAGAAACTGCAATAATATTTCACAGTATTACTGTTTTTTTCTGTATTTTTGGTCTTGATGAGCATAAGAGACTCCACTGAAAAACATAAAATCGTACTGATCCCAAACTTTTGAATGGCAGTGACTGTATATATTACAAAATAATAATAAAAAAACGCACACACATAATGTGTAAAATTTTTAAAAAATCTAGAACTTTTCTCTATATAATGTAATATAGTATGTAGTAACAGTGTGTGTAAAATAAACAATAGACATACATATTTATTTATTTTACACACACTATAATTCTAAATCAGATCTTTAATTCATTAGAATTTTTTTTTTCAACCCCCGTCTCAGAACCGTGTGGACATCAGCGATGTTGAACCGGATGTATTTAGGGAAATGATGGTATTTATTTACACTGGTAAAGCTCCTAACCTGGAGAAAATGGCCGACAACCTGTTAGCTGCTGCAGACAAAGTAAGACGCTGCCGCTCTGAAGGAAAATACTTTTGTTTTGCGTTCCTGCTGCTGTTATGTGCGAACTAACACTTCCTGTGATTGACCTGCAGCTTGTTTTCTTCTCTTTCTTTTTAGTATGCTCTGGAAAGATTAAAGGTATTATGTGAGGAGGCTCTCTGTAACAGTTTGTCTGTAGAGAATGTGGCTGACATCCTCATTCTGGCTGACCTGCACAGCGCAGAGCAGCTTAAAGCACAAGCCATAGACTTCATTAATAGGCAAGTACACACACTCACTCAATATTATAAGAATCCTTTGTATACTTTACAATTCTTTGTTTTCCGAACACTTAAACATAATTGTATTTACATTGTAAATATTTGCTAATTTAATGCCTCTGGTTTAATTGGGCTGTTTTAAAAGGATACATGATGGTAGAATTTAGAGCACAAATGTTACCCTGGACCACAAAACCAGTCATAAGGGTCAATTTT